AGGTGTGATCACAGTGTAGAAGAAGGTGAAAGACTTTCCATGTTTCGAAGATAAGTTGTTCTTAGGGTCTATATGCACCATTGCCACTGTCCCGTAAAACATGAAGACCACAAGAAGGTGGGAGGAGCAGGTGGCCATGGCTTTCTTCTTCCCCTCCTCTGATTTAATTTTCCCCACAGCTTGAGCAATGTAGCCATAAGAAGTCAGAATCAACCCCACAGGCACCATGGTGAAGATGACAGCAGAAGTGGTCATCTGCCACTCATTGGCAGAAGTGTCTGCACAGGCCAGGCGTATGAGGGAAGGAACCTCACACAAAAAGTCATTCAGGTGGTGGTGGGTGCAGAAGGGAAGCTGGAATGTGGTAAGAGTTTCCATCAAAGATTCTATCAGGCCAGCCATCCAGGCTACGAGTATCAGCTTCCAACAGAGTGGACGGTGCATGATGATGGTGTAGCGCAGTGGCTGGCAGACAGCAATGTAGCGGTCAAAGGCCATCACCACCAGCAAGATGCCTTCTGCAGCACCAATACAAAGAGACACGCAGAGTTGGGTGACACAGCCTGCATAGCTGATGCTCTTGTCTGGCCCCCACAAGTTTGAGAACATCTGGGGCACAGCGGTTGTAGTGAAGCAGAGATCCATGAAGGAAAGATTGCTAAGGAAAAAGTACATGGGTGTGTAGAGACAAGGATCCATGCAAGACAGCAGGATGACGGTCAAGTTGCTGAGGATGGTCATAGTGTAGAAGATGACCATGATCCAAAAGAGAGCCTTTTCCATCTGGGGACACTTGGAAAAGCCAAGAAGGATGAAGCCTACTGGGAAGCTCTTGTTCATTCCTGTTGCTTTTGCATTGGAGTTTGGAACTAATGGTAAGTAAGATTGTGTAAACAGATATTGTACAAAGGTTCTCTTGCCCTTTATATAGAGAAGGCAAGAATTATTAGTTTTCCAGGTGTTTTTGGTGTGGAACATGTGGGGGTTTTCAGTTACATTGGGCCAATAAGATGCAATCTCTCTGACAATCATATGTTTTCCCTCTCTAGTTCAATAAGGAAAAGAGTGGAGTGCTACTGTGCATTTTATCGTTAATGTGTTATTTTACAAATTCTTCTGCACTAAAATGTTTGTTTGTGCCAATTTTTAAATCGGTGTGTCTATCTTCTTCTGACTAATATGTGAGATTGTTATACATGACTGACTTTTAGCCTTTGATTTGTCATATGAACCACATAAATCTCCTAATTAAAAAAATATCTTAATATGGTTTATCACTTTTTATTCTGTTTTTTTTAATTTTTCAAATCCTAATTTTATTTACCAAGTTGTTTTCTTCATTGACTTTTTNTTTTTTTTAATTTTTCAAATCCTAATTTTATTTACCAAGTTGTTTTCTTCATTGACTTTTTTCATAGTTGAGGTAAATCTTTACTCATACATTTTGTCTAGTTTTTTATGTCATTTTCTACATGTAAACCTTTAATCAATTTGATATTTTAAAAGTGAAAACAGGATCTAATTTCACTTCACATTTTGCTAAATTGTTAGAATATTTTACTGAAGAATCTTATCTCAATTCACTGAATCACAATGAAAATTTTGATGCTTGAATTTTCTCAGAATTCTGCTACAATCATGCCAGGGAGCCACACATTGCATTCTTATGGTTATGGCCAAAGATTAACCAATCTATTGAGAGAAAACATCTCTCTCTCTCTCTCTCTCTCTCTCTCTCATTTTCATCAGATTATGGCACTAGAAATTTTCAGCAATGTCATTA